TCACGTTAAAAATATTATTTTTTATTCTGTAGTAATTCATCGTTTCATAGAAAAAAACATTTAATAATTGTTCGACAAAATAGCCCTGAATATTTACAATAAAAGTACCGTTACGCCGCGCCGTTCATTCAGTTAAACGCGTCAGAACGAGATAGACAATAACAAATTCGGTCAACTCTTTTCAAATAATGAGTACGACAAATAATGCAGCCATCTATATATTAATATGTGAAGCAAAAACTTTGTAGGTATCCCTTTTGATGAAAATTGCGCGGACGGAGGAGTATGAAATTTTCCACACTTATAGAGAATATAGAGAAGTGCACAATGCTAATATTTTTTTCAAATAATGCATGAAAATACATTAAATCAATAAAGAAAACATTACACACACTACATACCATGTATTTGACGCATACACGCATACATACTATTTATTGTCAAACTTTTGTTCTTGACGTCTGTTGTCAAATTGAGAATAGATTAAATATTGTTTGTCTTTGTTAATATTTTTTATAGTGTAGTCTTGGCGAAATTTGTGATTATAGAAGTATAAAATACAATCATAATAGTGTACAAACTTACAATTCCAATTAATTATAGTCGAATTTCGACTNCACGCATACATACTATTTATTGTCAAACTTTTGTTCTTGACGTCTGTTGTCAAATTGAGAATAGATTAAATATTGTTTGTCTTTGTTAATATTTTTTATAGTGTAGTCTTGGCGAAATTTGTGATTATAGAAGTATAAAATACAATCATAATAGTGTACAAACTTACAATTCCAATTAATTATAGTCGAATTTCGACTACTGCGGGACATCTAGTATTACTAAAGGCATAAGGCTCAAAATTGTCAACCGAATGACAGCGAGTTTTGTTAAAATTCATCACCAATATTACATAAAGCATTTAAGACGTGTATCTTTGCAAATCTTGAATTTACGACAAACGTGAAAGCGTCGTTCGTTTGACCTGATACTACGCGACCAACAAGAAGCCGACCTCATTTATTTTGAACGCACGCTACAAACAACAATTGTTTAATTAGAAAAAATCTCACGTTTATATTCAATTAAACGATGTGAAACACACGTATTATCTCGGTTTTGTTACGTAAACGATTGCAATTAGCTGCCAATTAGATGTATGGTCATTTGTTTGTTTTTTACCATAACCAATTTTAACTTGGACAAAAAAAAAATCGTTTCTCATCTTTCATTTATTACCAAACAATTTCATTTCATTTTTTACGAGTATAACTCGATCGCGTTTCGCCTTGACTGTCGCTATTTTTTGAGACCTTCAATCTCTGCAAAATAATAACGCGTCTCCTCCCGTGGATTGGTACTTTGACTTGACTTTGAAGCCTTCCCTGAAGTGCCAATAATAACTGTACCAAATCTCGATGTTGAAATATCTATCGGCACTTTTACTTATTACTTTGGGTCACCGGACGGACCGTGAATCAGTCAATCTATACAGAGAAAAAAAAACCGCTAATATTCTGTTATGCCCACTACGTTACGTTTATACAATCCTTTCTCGCTTCCAAATACTAGCGTATCAGCGGCGAGTACGAGAAGGATTCCTCACGATTCTTTTTCAAGGGTAAATCCGTCACGATTTTCTAAATCAAATGAATCATTATATGAATGCGTCGGACAGAATCACCGGTTTAAATTAATTGACAACTCGTGATCATTTCGATCTTAACATCTCAATAAATTAATTTTTTATCGAGCAAACTTAATGAATTAATTTCCGATTGAGCAACGAATGATCTGAGGTTAAAGATCACGGCGATTGCTTTGTGATGATTGTAATTTGTTGCATTTTTATGAAAACAAGCATGTGCACGTCACGCTGTTAGACTTGAATACAATAAATAATAAATTTAAAAAAACTAAAAAAATACGCTTTTATAGAAAATCCAACTAAAAAATAGAAAAGAAATTTTAATAAGTTTGAAATAAAAATAGTGTAAGAAAAAATAATTTTATTGTAAAAAAAGCGTGGGGTGCATGATATCAGTAGTTTAAATATTTTATGAACAGATATGAGTAGAATGGTTATTTTGATAATATCTCGAAAAGCACCCCACGCTTTTTTACAATAAAGTCATTTTTCTTACACTATTTTTAATTCAAATTTATAAAAAAAAATCTATTTTCTAGTTGAATTTCAAATTTTTAATATATTTTTTTAAATATTGAATTGTCACCGGTCCTAAATAAGTATGCCAAATTTCGAGTTAATCCGACGTTTTAAAGGGGGTCAAAATCATGTTCAAAGTTTCCGTTACATACCAACATACATACGTCTGAACCTAATAAAAGCGTATTAAAAATAACGTTATTTGGACAATTGATACCTCTTTACATTACATTAATACTTTCATGAATACTCTTTCCATTAATACTTTTGTATGACGCATAGTCATAGTAGTTGTTTGTTTTGATTCAAAATGGCGTATTTATAGAATATCGTGCTTGTCTTTTTACCGTTATTTTCATCGCTCGTCTAACACGAAAACTATTGTCATTTTGTCAGCACTAAAAAATAAAGGGCTAAAGCATCATCGATTGCTGGACAACTATTACTATCGGAATCTAGTATTTTTTTTTCTTTTTGTATTACATTGATTCGTTAAATTGGATTTAATTCATTGAGTTTTTCGATTTGATTCGGTATAATTTTCAATGGACAAGCTAACTGTTGGAGTAGTTTGTTGTTATGTCAATGAAAGCAGTCGCCTGAGTTTTACGCGATGAAGCTATTACGGTTTTGATGTTGAATGTTCAAGAAAGCAGTAGAATTTGTCCATTAGACTACAAATATTTTTTTAATTTTAAATAATCTATTTGTATAATGTATTATAATATAAAGTAAGTATATGTGTGTATGTTATATATATGTATGTGTGTGTGTGTGTGTGTGTGTATTTGTATGTATATATATTGTTTTGTATCTTGTAATATGTATATATTACTATATGCAATGTTTACTGTATGCACTAGGTTTGTGTTCCTAATTCTTCTTTCCTTTTGCGGGCCTACTGGAAGAGATTTCAGCATGAAATAAGTAGTGCCCTTGTACTCTGTATCCTTATTGACGTGTCTTTTCTAACAGCTGTGTGTACAAAATATATTAAATAAATAAAATAAATAAAATCTTTAGTGATAATTGGTTGCAATGCCGTTCTCACATTTGAGTGTTATATACCTGATATAGAAAGTCTTCATATACTAAAGCAAATTTAGATCACGCTACCCCGATTATAACATCAAACTGAATATATTACCTGCCACATTATAAACGCCTATTCACATATAATGTATTCCTTTCAATTATTTTTTTGTCCCGACAGATGCGTTCGTTACTCCAGCGTAGACCACCTACAAAAGGCAGATAGATGGGCAGAGTGCTTCATTTCTTTTGGTTTTTATAAAAAAATCCCATTATTTTAATAATAAAACAGTATCTGTGTATTGTGTTCTCAAGGGATTCGTTGGAGATAAGCCAGCAACGTTCTCAGGTTAATGTAATGTATATTGAATTTCAATCATGTATGGATGAGTACGACCATACTTCTGACAACAAAAACAACCGTGAAATATGGCCTGAACGCGGAAAAAATATTTATTCTATATCTTGAGATTTTAAAATTTTACAATAATGCATAGATGTTTAAGCTTTTCATAAAATCATTACTTTTGTTTATCATTATTATTATGTATAGAAATTATAGTTATTGAAAACACAAAAAAAGACAATGTCTAAAAATACACCTCAATTAATAACCTTTACAATTTAACTTCAAATGATTGAATGGCGTATGTAATATACAACGTGCGAGATTCGACTCTACGTAATCCATCAAATGGACCATTAAAAGTTCGATTGCTGATAATGAACAGAGAGAACAACTTCTCCCCGACAAACCAACTACGGTGGTCTTTGGTTTGTCGAGGAGTTTTATTTATAATGACTTCACTTTAAGCTGCATTTTTCGTAACCCGTTCTTTTGATTAATAATAATAATTATATACATATTATTATGTATAGATATTATTATATAAATAATAATTTGTGTAATTACTGGTGATAGGATCTTTTGTGAGGCCGCACGGCTAAGTACACCACCACCTTGCCTATTTCTGCCGTGAAGCAGTAAGGCGTTTCGGTTTGAAGGGTGAGGCAGCCTTTGTACTGTAAAATCAAGACTCGGAACCCATATCTCAAAGCGGGTAGCGGTATTTAAGCTGTTGATATCTCTGGGTTTCGGTAACCACTTAACGCTAGGTGGGCCGTCAGCTCGTTCACTAGCCTAAGCATTAACGTTCTCGATGAACGCAATTGTTTCAGAAGAATCTTTCTCTTGAACCAGGTAGTGCCGTAGCAAAAGCCAAACTAACAATATTTTTTAGATAATAAATATTACGCATATATCAAGTTATGAGACTCATTACATAGTTGATTAAAGCTTACCACATAAATCCCTTCTAATTCTACTTTATACTACACTAGCGGAGTCCCGCGGTTATTGTCGTACCACGGGTGACGCCGCGGGGCGAAGCTAGTCTAAAAAAAGTAAGGCCTAAGTTACTCCTTATATCATCAGCTACCTATCAGTGAAAGTCCCGTCAAAATCGGTCCAGCCGTTCCAGAGATCAGCCGGAACAAACAGACAGACAGACATTTAAAAAAAAAGTTATTTCGACAAACAGACAGACAGACATTTAAAAAAAAAGTTATTTCGGTATATGTATACCGTGTATACATACTTACGTATTTAGTAAAAAGTGGTTATTTTATTATTACAAACAGACACGCCATTTTTTTTTTCGTATAGATTAGAGTAAATTACATTACAAACGGCGTCCAGTTAACACGTAAACATTAACTTATTACATAATTAATCAAAGTAAATTGGTAATTATAGAACGGATGTATTTGTATGGCTACAAAACGTGGTTATCATTTATGTACTTACGCTAGATTTATAACGCTTATGAATTAGCATTCCTCAGATCGTCGGCTTTGCTTCATCTGTAACAAGGAAACATAAATTAATATTTTTTACATGTACATAACTCTTTTTTTCCTACCTAAGCTGATGGTCTTGAGAGACCATTTCAGCGTAACCTTAACTAGTAGGTGAGCTCAAACCTGATGACGTTGCTAGCACTAACCCTAGTAAGAGCAGTGCTTCGCAGAACTCACATACCTCACGGCCCACCTTATTCCAAGAGAGAGAGGGAGTGACGCTACTCTTCTTGTGGGTTTTGAAATTTCAATTGTATGTTATACAATGTTCACGCTCTGGATAAATAATAAGTCGGTTTGTTGAAGTATTGTTATATATTTTTAGTCCGACAATAATAATTTGAAAAATATGTAAACTTATAAAAAAAGGCGGCAAAGTCTTGATTCTTTTTAAAGGATTTTATGACCTGGTAACTAAGATCTTTAAGTCACGTCTTATTTTAATTATAATGAAAACTTTTTTTATTTGAAAAATGATATTGTGGGATGGCTAGAAATGAAATGAAAATGAAATGAAATGAGATGAGATGATATGGGATGAAATATAATCTCAATAAAATAGTGGTCAAAAAGTCCGCAGACTGTTTTTTTTAAAGAGATTTTATGAGCTGGTAACTAAGACTTTTAAGTCATGTCTTATTTAATTTTATATTGTTATTTTTATGAAAAATGATAATATGGAGTGAAATGAAATGAAGATGAGAGAAAAATGCACAGATAATATAAAAAATTAGCATATACGTTTCGTTTCACGCTGTGGAGATCTTGAAGTATGTTCAAGACCTTTAGACCTTCAACCTAAAACCCACGAGTAATTCCCAGTAGAGAAAGGTAGGTTGTATTTAGTCATGCAGTCTTCCAATAATACATCTGATCACCAGTAATTTCTACTTTATAGCAGACATCAGAACCAAAATGACCCCACAGAGAATAAGCAAAAGAGTATACTTTGTTGTACATTGAAACAAAATTTACATTGAATTTTCACTCAATAGGCAGGTATAAATTGAACAGTTTCGCTAAAATATATCTCTTCCTGTCAAGGCTATTCCTGAAAAACATACGGCCGGTATGTTATGACTTGTGATGTACTATTATTTAAATAAATTAGAGAAATCGATGCAAATAGACAAAACCTCAAGCATATTATTAAATAATGAAGACAAATAAATAAATAAATATGCACATTAAACATAATGAATTACATAATGATATAATGAATTACAGAATTACGTGAAAATTATATTACGAACAAACCGGCTAGGTTTTTTAATAATCGCAATTAAAGTGATAATAATAATTATTCATGATGTTGAATATTATTAACCTATTTACCGCAATCGACAGTATATATCTTGTTCTAGGATCCAACCACAAGCCCGTCATTAACTTAAAGCTTTTGTATTCTTACAAGAACCGAACGCATTTTCGATTCGATTGTATTTTACACCTTTGAGTCAACGTTCCGAGAAAGATTCGCTTACTTCCTTTGCAGCTTTGTACTTACGTTGCATCACGATCCTGAGATCAGCTCCCAACATTGTCTAACCACAATGGCAATTGTGAGAGAGATCGTCGGTACAACAATAGGTATAAGACTCAGCAATTAGCGGTACCAATTAAATATTTACTTTGCTAACGTTGTGATAAGCAGTGATCACCGTCAGAGGATTTTGCAAATGATTAAGCTCCTCAAAAATGAGCTTAAAACCAATGGCGTTACAAGATATTTTACTTTAATTTAATATTTAATTGATATTTTTAAAAAATATGGCCAATTGCGGGCTACCTCCACTGCGGCGTCTTCGCAGAACCTGTTCTTCTCAATCAAATTTCTATTTCCTATTTTGGTTACCGGTGGCAGGGTGTGCTGTGGTCTGCCACAAATCAGTTAGACGTTCCGATTTAAAGGGTTGGATGAGCGTTACAGTGCAATTACGACTTCGACCTTGAGGCGACTTGTGAGATCTATGGGCTTTAGTAGGTAACTTGTTAAAGTCAAATGCTCCGTGAATTCGAACACCTTTCCACACCCTGCACAAAGAAAGGTCTAATGGTCTAATGGTGACAGGTTCTGAGAACAGCTTGGGACCGATGAATTCCCCTTTAAACTTAAAGGGAAGATTTAGAAGTCAGTTATAAAGCCTGTATTTTTGACTGACTGTATTGACTAGAGTGCTGGGCTACGAAAGCGGTGGATGAAGGAAGAATGTATGCAGCAGAAACGAGGATTTTTAGATGGACGTGTGGAGTAACAAGAATTGATGATAAGATTAGAAGTGATCTATATAAATGGAACATTGAAAGTAGCGCCAGTAACAGAAAATATAATAAATGGAAGGTTTTCATGATATCGGCATGTTATTAAATAATGAATGTCACCAAAAAGATCCTGAGTATAAAAGTCAACGGTAAAGTGGGCGTCCAATAAAGAGTTGAACTATGTGAAAAAAGATATGCGAGAGTAGAGTGTGAATGCAGATATTATATATGAAAGGCCCGATTAGAAAGAGGACACGCTGCGACAACCCCACATAATGTAGGACAAGGGCAAGAAGAAAAAGAAAGAAAGAAGCTCTTTGATGGTAAGCTTTTCTAATCTTTCAAGCATGCCCATCTATGCTTGAAAGATTAAAAAAGAAAGATAGATCACCCGATGGTGAGTAACCGGTGCTTGTGCATAGCTGAACTTCTGCTTAACGTGTCGGATTATTATCAAACCTCATTTCAAGAATAAAAAATCAGAGCCATAATTCCGGAGCCAAATAATGCGCTTTAATTATACCATAGTTTCTATAATTGAGTAACTGTTACTATATTCACTGTAGCATAGTTTATAGACCGAAATCAAGCCTGTTCAATAAACTAAGTAACTTTGTAACAGCTTTCTGCGATAAAACAGGTATAGTCTTTATATAATTGATGCCAAAGTCCAGACGGTAAGTGCGGGGTCTACAAACGCCATTCAGATTACAGCATCACTAGTCTACATGTAGCCACTACATCTTCTAACTAGCTCATACATTGAATACGCGCAGTACAAGTAAGCAGGGCAGGTAGCAATTTCTCAGTGTCGTTCGTAAATGCGTTTAATGTGTAGGCGCAAGTCGGACAACTGTCCAACTTGACTCACAATCATATCGACCACTCGATATTGCGTCATTAAATAAATCGATTTTAATACACATTTGACAACTCTGACGAATAATCGGAGCTGTTAAGTTATTTGTACTCTGTTGCGTTCAAGTTTTTTTTTGTTGCTTAGATGGGTGGATGAGTTCACGGTCCACCTGATATTAAGTGGTCACTGGAGCCCATAGACATTTACAACGTAAATGCCGCCACCCACCTTGAGACATGAGTTGTAAGGTCTCACTTTTAACAATACGGCTCCCCCGCCCTTCAAACAGACGCATTACTACTTCATGGCAGAAATAGGCAGGGTCTTGTGGCCCACCTATGCGGGCTCAAGACTCAAAACCTCACAAGACACCCAAAAAAGAGTTGAGTTCTCAAATAAGCAAATAAATAAATAAGTTATTTGCGCAAGACATGTCAATAAACGGCCTGTATTCGAGCATGAGTATTATTTTAGTGTGGGTAGATGGGAGTGCCCGCCATTCATTGCGGCCGCGAGCAGGTTGAACAAATAGATCGAGTTGAATTTATAATGAAGTGTGACCGATTGATTGTCGCGGTAATTGTGCAATAAAAACCGTGTGCCAGTAATGGAATGTAACACGGTCTTATTACGCGAATCGTGCTCGGAATAACACTAAGAACGAACGACATTATTGTTGTAATTTTAGAGAAAAAAAAACAACTAAATAAAATTTAGTTTACTTGATTGTAGACCAAAATAACAAATGCCAACATTAGGAATATAATCAATCTAATATACATATTTGTAAATATTATGCAGTTTTGAGAAAGTTACTAAACTTAACGCCACCGACTCGTGTATTTCTGTCGCATAGATTTCCCTAATAAAAATCAACATTTGCCTATAAATGTGTTTACATTATTTCATGTTCGTTAATGGAATGAACTTGTGATTTTAGAATTGGATTATAGCTTTAATCTATCTCGAATTTCGTTTAAATACTATAAATGGGGATGCAGTTATAAAGCTTAACGAATATAGTACTCACACCATTGGGTATTGTGGATAGTTTTTTTTTTATTTATTTACAAGGAGAACCAACAGCCAACTAACGTAATATAATAATATGACAAATAATAGAAACAAAAAGCCAAATTAAAGGTCTTGTTTATATTGGATAAACAAATTAAAACACTAGAGAAACAAAAACATAGAAACAAAGAAATTAAAAACAATCAGCAAGCAAGATACAATATATAGTTTTTATGAAATTATATGGTATTAAAAGTATTTAGATTTTTAGTAGGTATTATTAATCAACATTTTATGGTAAGAGAGGTTCGAGATCCCAAAGAATAGACACTTCGATATCAATTATAAAGTGATGTAGCGGGATTATAGTACATAGTTTCGAAGTCTAGAGGTTTCACTTTTGCAAGACCACGAATTCTTCTATCAACTTTTTCCATGTTTTTTTAGATTACCATAATAGTTTGTAACTGTAAAATCTTTTCAACACAGCCTTACGTATGCTTCCGAACATCTATTTCTTACGCACAAAGTTCTTAGCGGACTACTATAACACTATTGTCTTTTCTTTTGTTTGTACTATTGTTTATATGACTGGTTGGCATTCGACCTAGTTTATCTATTGTGTACTAAATGAGCAACGTATGAAAATTCATAACGTCTGGTGTGTCAAAATGTGAAAGCTTATTTGCATTATTGTATTTTGTAGAATTTAAACGCGTTTTATACTCATATAAGATCATTTTCTATTAAGACACAGCAATTTGAATACCACCCGCATTATGAAAAAAGGTTCAATCATGTTTATCATTTATAATGTCATCTCTCATCTACAACATTTAAGGATCCATTTCATGTTTGATGACCGATT